GGGGGAGGGGGAGGCAGGGGGCAAGGAGGGGCTGTGGTGGTGGTGTGTTTTTTCCTGCCAGATTGCCTTCAGCCATCACCTAATCAATAACTATCTTTGTCTTAGGTTGGGGATGGGAAATCAGTACTAGTTTCTGACATGGACATGTGGTATCTGAATCTTGCACTTTGCCATTTTGATACATTTAACTATGCCCTGCACTATAAGCTCTTGGTGCATTGCTGTCACGTTTTTTTGCTTTGCATAGCCTTCCTAGCAACGTACTTATTTAGCTTTTAGTCTTCTATAGCTGCTAAATTAATGTTCTTGTGGATTTCTCTTTGATGTGAACCACACCTTCTAACAGTTGGACTGTGCACTGAACACAGATTTTTCAAGCTCAGTGGTAAGATTTATGTCCACAGTAGTGCTTCCCTGGTGTCTAAAATTGTGAATTAATGGTAGTGTTGAGGACAAATGTATTTCTCAGTATTTTTTTCAAATGTGGTTTTAATTGAAGCATGAGGTGTTATACACAGACACCAGAAAGAGCTGAAAATGCATGTTTTTCATTTTAGTAGGAAAGGGAAATTCCATGTGGTAAATGTTAACTCTTTCAGCTTCTAGTTAAAAGCTGATTTTTCTTTATGTTTTTGGAAAGGAATAGTATGCTGTTCTGGAATTGGTCAAGGCAAAAATTAAAAAGATTTCAATTCTCCTGATCTTCACAATTGTTCAGTGAATGTACAATAAGGAATATTTTAAAGGAAGGCTAATTTTATTATATTCTAGAATAACAGGTTGTTTTTCCACCCCTTTGTATCTCTGGATAGAATTATTTGGTGATATGTATGAAGTTAAAGATTTTGTTTACAAATACCTTTTTCCTTATTTCTTGGCATTTTGTCCTATATAATGAAACACGCTACTCAGTCACTTGTGGTAACTACAACTACAAATAAGCTGGAATGTAAAGAAGAGCTGAAAGTGAAATGGACTCATCAGTACAAGGAACTGTCTGCTTTTGTGTTTTGCACTTGGGGTATTTTTGTGCTAGTTAAGGAATTCCGTTTGAATTGGAGGGATGAAGTAGAAGGTTGGGTTTTTTTAAGGCATGGTACTTTAAGTAGGCAGGAATTGCATGCATTATATTAATCTGAATACTTAGAGCAGCTGGCAGTTAGGTAGTTTATTTATTTGCCATGTTCTTGAGCAGTGAATTAATTATTCTGAACTCTCCTCAGCATGCCAGTTGATACTTACTTATTATATACTTATTTGATACTTAATTGGAAATTGGAGAGCCATAGTTACCAGATTTAAGCTGAGAAAGTGGATTGTATTAGTATCACTTACTATGTTGTAATGTATAGGAACTCTGCAGGTTCTCAGTGCTGCTTTGACACAGATGAGGGAGAAGTCTTTGGATACACTATATCAGAAGAATATTTCTGTTATTCAGAAAGAATATAATCATAAGTGGCAGTATACTGTTTCTCAGAACTCTTCCCTAAATAAAAGGCATGCAAGTTTGTTTTGTAACTCTTCATAATGTACAATTAAAGTATATATTTACATATTAATTGATATGTACTTATCTTGGTTTATGTTAAATTGTAATTGCATTGTATAAGAACTTTTTTTTTGTTTACTGTGGTTGTTAGCCCAACATGAGGAAGGGCTGCCTTAATGCTAATGGTCATTTGACCAAAGATGGATAATCATGGAACCCAGACATTTCATAAAGGCAGAATGCTGTGAGTGAGATAAAAATCCGTGATCATCATGAAGCTGAACAGCCGTTTCTGGCATACATTGTCAGTTTAAAAGATCATCATAAAAGGACAAAAATGCACATTACATTTTTGCAGTGTTATGGAATTCAGGTGTCAGTGGCAATTTGTGGAGGAGAAAGACGGGTGGGTAAGGGATGCCTGTCAAGAAATACCTTGAGCTTTAGAGAACTCAATAATTTACCAAATTTTACTAAACATGACTCTTCTAAGGTTGGACAACCAAAATGCTTCTCAATTTTGAGAATTCAGGCCTGTCAATATATCTAGTGCATTAAAAATGGAGTAATTTCTTAATTGTATGTAAGTACACCTACAGCTTTGGAAGTGTAGCACTGGAAGTACAGTCCTCCGCAGAAGTAGCAGAGCAGGCCCTCTGTCACAGTGACCTGATGAGAGGTTGCCAAGGACAACAGCTATTGAGCTGCAAATAGTTTGTTTTCACTGCTATCCTCCAGTATTGTGTTGTTCTGGAGGTAGAAGCTTTCCATGTCTAGCAAGCATCAGCCTTGCAAATGATGCAGGTTTTTTCAAAGTAAAAGGTACATGTAGTGAAAAGTTATACCATCATACTTAGTAGATACAAGTTAATAGACCACAAAAGTATGCTGACAGTGGTGAGGTTAGCATGACATGCCACACATCTTCAAGCAAACAGGAACATTTACTTTTTTGTGTGCTTGTCTTGGCAGAGGCAGAGGGATTTGGCAGTGTGTAGCCATTTCTTTACACAGTGGATTGCTGATAACTTGCACTGTAGAAAAAGCTGTCTTGGCTTGTAAGAAACTATCACTGGTCTGTTTGTTAGGCCCTCAAACTCAGTCATCCTGAGTCCTGACCAACCAGCCTTGGAAGCAAATGCCCTCTCATGATAGTAAAAAAGAGAGACTACTCATATGATCTATATAACTGCACTTTAAACACAGGCATACAGGTAAAATTCTATATGATTAAAAGTACACTGGGTAAGTCCCTGGCGTTTCAGAGCAGAATAGTCATCATTAATTCTACAGTATGCATGAAGCACTTGAAAAATGTTCCTATTGTCTTCCTCCCACCCCATCTCAGCAAGAACTGAGAAGCTGTGTGTATGCACAGAAGCATTTCAAGACACCAATTATTTAGGTATTTTGAATTGAACAGAACATTTATGCTATAAGCTTCCATAAAAAAAAAAAAAAAAGAAAGACGTACAAGGGGATTATTCATCTTAAACATGCTGGAAAAAATTGCTTAATACTTGCTTAATTGTTTTTCTTCTCTCCATGATGAAAAAAAAAAAAAAAGGCAGGCTGAGACTCCAAAGTTGTGCAGTTCTGTGTACTCTTACTGCTAACAAATACTCTGCAACTGACTTTGGTCTGGAGCCCAGGATGGGGTCCAGGTTTTCAGCCTCTTAAGTGCTATGACTCTTTAGTTGGATTCTGTACCTGAACCTGAGCAGTTGTTCAGCTTTGAGCAATCTTGTTGCCACTCCTCTTCTGCTTCCTCTCCCATCCCGTGTCTCATCTATTTAGTGAATAACTAATTTGGGACAGTCCTGTCTCTACTCCTCTTCACAGAAATGATAGAGATTTCTAGTGAAGCCTTTATCATTACTGCAATTCTTCATACAAAAAAAGAGAAAGGGTCCAATGGGAAGAAATACATTTGATTTACTGTGTATCTTGTATGCAAGGGAGTGAACTTTGCACTTCCTTTATTATCTTGCATTTCCCATTCCTGACATTTCCATGACAAAAAATATTTGTCATCTTTTGGACTTGCTCATCCTCTATTTCTGTGTATTCTCTGAGCAGGTTTTCAACTCCCATGTCCAACCATGAAACATGAATGAAGTACAGGAATTGCATGTATATGTTCTATTAATTTCTTTGTTTAATAGCAGTTACTGTTAACCAGTTTTTACCCTTTCCGTCTGAGAAAACTGTGATATTGCATGGGGTGACTGTTTCCACTGTTACTTTCTGTATGAAAGAACTGTTGAGTTCTTTCACCTCTCCACTTCTCACTCTTTTTTAAAGGAATATCTTCTGGTCCGCTCCTGGGCATATTCAGTTGCTCTGTGATGTCTGTTACATATCCAGGCATCTTGCTTGTTCCTTCCTTTCAAACTGTGCAATAGTTGGAAACATGCAATGAAATACTTTGAAAATACTAGCTCAAAGCTCAGAACAGAAGATTAAATTGAATTATCTATTGTTGGGTCCTTGGAAAAGGGATGCAATACTAATACTTGAGCTACAGTGACTGAAGATTTCTGAAGAAGGAGGTACATTTGGAAAAGAAAGGGCAATTTTGAACACAAGAATATATTAGAAGAATAAAGGTATCACTAGGGAGACAGTAGCTCATTGGTTAAAAAAAAAAAAAAAAGGATACTCGTATCTCACCATTTTTTTATCCACTTTGTCCTCTTGAAGAATGCTGTTAATGTAACAGCAGCATCAAAAATGTGAACTATGGATGTGCATAAAACAGAAGAAGCAAAAAAGGAGCTCACCAGTATAACAAAAACTAGCCTTTTGCAGTAGTATTTTCATTATTATTTAAAACAAACAAACCAAGAAGAACCCCTGCACCTGAAACCTTTATTAGCTGCTATTTGTGCTCTGGTCCTTGAGTAGAGCTGACTTTAAATATTACAGTCAACATGAAGAAATAATTTTGTGCACTTTCACCAAGGAGGAGTCTTTTTATTCAGTGCTGGGATTCACTTCCGTAACCCTCAGTTTCCATATACTTGAAATCATGCACTGAATACAAATAAAAGGTGTTACAGAAGTGCCAAAACTACCTGGGAAATTGAGCCTTTCACCTTTTCCAAAATACTTATTCAAGAAAACATAATTATGAGAAGATGGTATCAGCTTTCTGATGAAAGGTGTGTGCAACCACTCGCGTGTTTCTATTTTCTGTTTAAAGCACTAGTTAGCAGCTGGAAAGAGGCATGTGAGCACAGCTGGTGCTGATGTTAAAGATGAGGTGCAAGAATGGAGCAGAAGTTGAACTTTGGCTAATGCTACTGCAGGGCAACAGGTGCAAGGCTTGTAGAAGAAGGCTGAAGGAGTACTGCTTGGTGAGGGATTGCTGCTGCAGGATTTCTGGTGCTGCTTGGAACTGCTGGCTAAAAACCAGGGGCTTAAAGATCTTTTGGTTATCCAGGTGGCTGAGGGATAGCAGCCCTGACCTTGGTCTCTAGAATTAAGGGTAGAATTTAACATGCTTCCCCACTGCACAAATGCTTTAGGTGAGGCAAGCTGAAAGTACCTGTTGTGAATCCTTGTCTCCCTCTGAGGTTTCATGTGCCTGTATTACTTGGCACTGTAGCTCTGATTTTTATGAGAAAAAGATTGGCAAAGTAATCAAATAAAAAAAATACTGTGTTTTTCTTGTGTTAGAGCACTGTAACTGGCTGATTTTTTTTTTTTTTTCCCCCCCCTTCTCTCTTCTTTCGCTTCCCCAAAAGTGCCTACTCCTTTCACGTTACTGCAGATGGTCAGATGCAGCCGGTTCCTTTCCCTCCTGATGCCCTCATCGGTCCAGGAATTCCTCGCCATGCCCGTCAGATCAACACTCTGAACCACGGGGAAGTGGTGTGTGCAGTTACCATCAGCAACCCCACGAGACATGTGTACACGGGTGGGAAGGGGTGCGTCAAAGTCTGGGACATCAGCCAGCCTGGCAACAAGAGCCCTGTCTCTCAGCTGGACTGCCTGGTAGGTGATCAGGAACTTGTGCACAAGGGTAGCTTCTCCTTGGAGACTCAGTAAGGAAATAGTTGTCCTTGTCTGGATTTTGTTCGTATTACAAGGAAATAGCAGGCAGTTCTGTTTCCTGCTTTATGTGTTTAGCTGTCTTTTTAACACATAACAGGTGGAGTTACAGAGAAGAGTGCTGGTTTGTTTAGGGATAAATATCATCACTAAGGGTCAAATAACAGATTAGGTAAGACTTCTGAGTAAAGAGTGTACCTGATTTCCCCTCCCCCAGTCATGCTGATGATTTTTTTGCATGAGTTTAAAAGGAATGTAGCCTGGCTTATGCAGGGCTGCGCAGAATGTTCCTAGGTGTTTCACTCACACCAGGAGTGACAACCTCTGTTTTTTGTAAGAGGGTAGCAACCACATAATGAAATGATGTGACAAGGTACCAAGGTCACTTTAAGTCTGGCTATGCTTTTGTTGGTGATCCTCAAGTTACACATTTTGGTTGGTTGTTTTCACATCTGCAGGATACAAAAGGGACTGAGTGCAGTAGTATAGGTAGCTGAAAAGCTGACTCAAAAAAGGTAATGGCTCAGTAAAAGATGCTTCTCATATTAGAAGCAGCATAGATGTTTATGAAATGTTAACTGAGAAGACTTCATGTCATAAAGCACAGTAATATATATTCTGAATGAAAATAATTCTAGCTTCATTGTTGATCCAATTAAATGTGGTGGGGTTTTTGGTTTGGTTTGGGTTTTTTTAGCCTTTTCCCTTTATTTACTGCTACCATTATGTTAGTTGACTAGTAGTAAAAGTATGGTTGAATATTTATTCTGTTCTGTGACAGTTGTTTGAATGCATAGTCCTAGCTGCCTTCATTTTAGTTATGGAGCAGCAATGGCTGACTCACTAAGCCAACATTTCCACTGCACTACTTACTGCTTCTTGCTGTGAATAAAAAAAAAGTAGTAGTAGTAGTAATGTTGTTGACTACTTCTTGCAGTGCTTTTTTGTATGTTTTTAGTTACAGCTCTTAACCCTCCATTTTCTAAAGAACTGTTACCATGTTAATCTGGCATCTATTATGGAGAAATGGACTTCCAATACATTTAAGAACTCAAGCTTCCAATAAATGAAGGTTGAAATGTTTTCCACCTCTAAATCCCCTGTAGTACCTCTCAATCAGCAATAGTATCACAAATGTGAAACTGATAATATAAATACGGTAAGAGTCATGTTGAACAGCAAAGGACCAATGTAAATCCAGGAGCAGTATGGGGATACTTAATATTTTAACTTTAAAATGGTGAATGCAAAATAGTATTTGATAGAAAACTCCAAAATATGAAAGGCATGAGACATGAACTGCATTTTCATATAGGGTTATCTAAATGTCAAATCAAAGCTCATTTGCTGACCTTAGCTCATAGAGTGCACTTGCAGAAATACAAGCATACTTTGGCTATGGTTTTGTGTAATGAGACGGAAGACTTGCCATTCATCACGTTTAAAACAGAGTAGACTGTGGCAACAGGAGTCTGCAGTTTAATTTCTAGAGCTGCAGTCTCTGGTTAGTGATGAGAAGTAGGTGTTTGAAACCTTTTAGGATCTGCTAGTTTCTCTTTACTACTTTGGTAATGGAAAAAATAGCATACTGATAAAACTTGGATGCAGTCAGAATCATATTAGTGGTCATTATTGGCAGGTATGTATTAACATAACTGAGGTGATTTGTGTTGTACAGAACAGAGACAACTACATCCGCTCTTGTAAATTGCTACCTGATGGATGCACCCTAATAGTTGGCGGGGAAGCCAGCACATTATCCATATGGGACCTGGCAGCACCAACTCCTCGTATAAAAGCAGAACTGACATCCTCAGCGCCTGCCTGCTACGCTCTGGCTATCAGCCCTGATTCCAAGGTGTGCTTTTCCTGCTGCAGCGATGGGAACATTGCAGTGTGGGATCTGCACAATCAGACATTGGTCAGGTGAGTCATTACTTGTTTAAAGAAAACTTCTATTAAAGCTACTCTTTGGATAGCTACATAAATATTTATCTCCCTGAATAGTGGTTCATGACAGCAAAGTAAATAGTACTTCTTATCCAAAGAATGCAGTTTGCACCCGAGTTGGGCAGAAACTAGTTCTGGTAGCTTCAACCTAGTCTTGGAAGGTGCACATTCAGGGCCTAAAGGGTTGGTCCATAACCTGCTGCAGTGAGTGTAGAAGTTCATGTTGGTTTCAGTTAGTTGGGATTTGTCTGCAGGTTTCTACAAGCAGCATTTCTGCTGATTGGTGATTGATGTAGACTGAACATGCCTTTTAGGGAACTCTTTGAGGTTTGTTCTTTTTCCTTTGTCTTAAACATTGTTAAGTAATAAATAGAATTTTCAGTTCTTATTTAGTGATGATAAGTAATAAAATTAATCTACAAAAGCAGTTGAAAGTGTGGATCCTCTCAGTTCTTTAGGAAAGTGTAAAGGAGTGATGTTTGGTCATTCATGAGAGAAAGGTATTTGAGGTCTTGGGGGAAATTTGATCTCTAAAACTTTTAGAATGGGCTGCAAAGAGTATAATAAATGGGTTGCCATGTAAATTACTTTTAAAATCTTTGTTAGACCTTTGATTAATGAATATATTAGTAGAAGATTAAAGTGTCTGGCAGGTCAACATTCAGCATGACTGCTATGACAGTGAAAGAAAGATAGGTCCACGTATGAAATAGCTCTTAGCAGCTAGCTGTGTGGTTTACTAGAAGATAAATTTTGGTTTATGCTTACCAAAGTAGTGGTGGCTTACAGTATTATGAGAAGAGAGCCTAAATTGGGAAAGCCAGTGATACTTTAAAAGTTCTGAAGACAAACACTGAAGAATCTGCTTAGTCTGCTGTGTTTCAGTTAAACTTCCTGTATATCAATAATTAGCCTAAACTTATATGCAGAGTCATGTTGATGTGCATGCAAATTTTACTTTCTGTTGGACTTTGAGGTCAGCAAAGATTTTAGTTATAAAAAATCCTCAGTTTGCCCTATGCATGCATAGTCCCTGTAAAGGTGCACTCTCCATCTATGACTGTCTAGCCTTTTGAATGTTTGCTGTAGGTGTTCCCACCACTTGGTGGCTGATCTTGCTAATTGATAACACGTGGAATTTTGAGACCAGAGCTACAAAACAAAATGTGCCGCATGACCTTTCTGTGGTAGCTCTTAGTGATTCATAACCTTCATTCCCAAGCTAGTTGTCTTCCCACCCCCTCGCCCTCCACCTTTCACATTGAGGCATAGGACTTTTCTAAAGCTAATTGCTGATGAAAAATGCAGGAGCCTCAGAAGGCTTTTGCCAAAGGATTAGGGAAAACTTGAGATGACCTTCTGGTTGCTGAAAGCTGAGAATTACTAATGAGAAGATTTTAAAACAAACTGCACCATTTAGATTTTTGTGATCTCCTGCCACAGAGAATGCAACTTTGCTGACTCAGTAGTGCTTATGTTTAACTATCTGGATCTCTGTCTGGATCCCTTCCTATTAATATCTCCACTTATTATTTATCGTCTTGACTTGCAGCCAAAAGAAAATACAGAAGCTGTTTCTGAAACTGGAGGAGTTTTGTTCCCTCAGCACTTGTTTTAATCTGAGTTGTCCTTAATGCTTTTAACTGTAGTTACTGTACTTTAATGTTCTCACAAGCTTTTTTTTTGGCATTTCAAAACCTGATAGGAAATCTTTGACTTTCTTCAGCTAGCCATGATGCAATTCATTTCTCTAGCACCTGGAAAATGTTTTTGTAATACTGTTGTATTTCATGCTCAGTAAAAGGGAGGGACTGATTTTTGCCCATCAGCAGACACAGAAGAGATGACACACACACACAGAGTCCAAAACTAACACCACAACAGTGTTTACCTTGAGCTCTGGCAGGAAATCATTATTCAATCTGGTTTGTTTTATCAGGCAATTCCAGGGCCACACAGATGGAGCCAGCTGTATTGACATTTCTAATGATGGTACCAAGCTCTGGACAGGAGGTTTGGATAACACTGTCAGATCCTGGGACTTGAGAGAGGGGAGACAGCTACAACAGCATGACTTCACATCACAGGTAAGTGGATTTCCCTACAGCTTGCGGGGAGGGTGCGGTGGGAAGGAAACATGTAGGATGAAAGCTGAGATTGAGCCCAGTGCAACTGGCACATTGTTCCCTCTCTTCCTTTTAGCTGCTCACAACACAATATTTTGTAGCTTTCATATGTTTAGCTTCCAGAACAAAATGATAGCCTGACACTACTCTCTTTTCGTATTTTTCTAATTTAATAGGTAAGAACAGGGGTTAGCTAGCCACTTGAATTTTGAACAGCAGTCTTGCTATTGAACTATGTGAACTTTATTTGCCCTTCTCTCTCTCTGTCTCCCTCTCCCAATTAATTTAACCACTGTAGAAAAAAAAAAAAGTGTATCTTTAGGGAAAAAAAAAGTCTAAATGTGGTTTAATTTTCAGATATTTTCCCTTGGTTATTGTCCTACTGGTGAATGGCTAGCTGTGGGAATGGAGAGCAGCAACGTAGAAGTGCTACATGTAAATAAACCAGACAAATATCAACTGCACCTTCATGAGAGTTGTGTATTGTCACTCAAGTTTGCTTACTGTGGTAAGTTGCTCTGACAGGGCTCTAATTCATGCTTTGCTGATTAGTTACTACATAGTCATAGCTCATTTGATAATCAGAACTTATTTAGTATCTCAGTTTCTTAAGTAATGAATAAATATCTCTGCTTTATGAATTCAAATGTACTTATCTACAAACAACCATCTCTTTGTCTAAAGGCTTTTGTGAGGGTTGATTTACATGTAAAAAGCTATTTCTACTTACAGAGTCTAGGGATTTCCTAGTATGTAACAGACTGCCAAAGCATGAGTGTCCGCATTGTAAGCAAAAGTACTATGTTGATTAGTGGTGAGAGCTTTTATAAAGGTACTTAGTTAATAGATTTCATAGATGTGAGTTGAAAACCCAGAATCTTGTCAGATGTGTGTTTCATATATTTTCATAGTCCTTCTGTTTTATATTCTAGGTAAATGGTTTGTGAGTACTGGGAAAGATAACCTTCTTAATGCATGGAGAACTCCTTATGGAGCCAGTATCTTCCAGGTGAGGATGATGATGCTTTTAAACAAAAAACTAGAATACCCAGAGTTCCAAGAGTGGACTCGGATATCTACACCTGTGTCATCTACCCAAAATGGGATGCTGAGATGAGGGTAACAGACCTTTTTTTTTTTTTTTTTAATGATGTAATATATTTCTATTTTTCTTCTAGTCCAAAGAATCTTCGTCAGTGCTTAGCTGTGACATCTCTGTGGATGATAAGTACATAGTCACTGGCTCTGGAGACAAAAAGGCTACAGTCTATGAAGTTATCTACTGAGAAATGTGATGGGGATATAACTTTTAGAAGTTGAACTGGGCCAAAATTGTTCTTAATTGTAGAAGTAGAAAGGTTTTGCCTTTTAGAAAGGAACAAAAGTATTGAGGTTCCAGACCTTGCCATGAAACTACTCCGATTTTTCAAAATAGAAGGCAACATCCAGCAACTAAATACTGGCTACGTGGACCAAATGGAACACAGAGACAAGATGGACAGATGTAGCCTAGGTTTTTGATATAGTTTTTAAAAGCCAAGTCTACTGAAGAATGTTGGAGCCTTTTATTTTTTTCTTTCTTTGTGACCTCATGCAAATTGTTCTCATTGCCTGAATATGGGGGATAAATACCTTTCTGTTCCTTGCAGTTCAAGTTGCATTCTGTCCTGTGTAGAGCAGTGGTGTCTCAGATGAACTTGTTTCCTGGTTTTGCATCTTGTGATATGTTTTTGTATTTTTGTTGAAGGTCAAACATTTGTATAAATTGTAAATATATTTAGTTTATTACAGTAAAGGCTTTAGTACCAACAACCAGTCTTCCCCCCCGCCCCCTCCCTGCCTGCCCTGCTTATTTAAAATTAAAAACCTTTTGGGGATATAAGTACCTTTTTAGAAGCAAAAGCAAACACTATGTATAGTTTGAAAATGGTGTCTTATTCTTTATAACTCTTCTAGATTCCTTTATCATACTTCAGAGTAGTTGTTTTGACATATTAGGGTATCAAGTCCAGTAGATACTGTCTTGTGCTACAGAAAACTTAAAAGGCAATTTTGTACTAATTATAGTGTAAATATAAAAATTGAACATTTCATGAAGTTGTGCAGTTTATTTTAAGTTTATTCTGATGTCCCATATATATGTTCTTTGGCAGATACAGTAATATGTGCCTGATTATAACTCATTTTGTCATTTCTCTAGAAGAGGTGATTTCCCTCTTATTTCTCCCCCAGCTGAACAGAACTCATGCAAGACTACATTTCAACTAAATACATCAGAGCCCTTATTCATTAACTGAGGATGTCTGTGATTTAAAAAAGCTAGATAAGTTGCATCCTTCATATTTTACAGAGAAGTGGCAGTTAGTGACCATTTCCTTTTTAATGTCTTGTCTATACTTAGATACTCAGGTAAATTTAATTAAATTACCAAAAGTGTGAGTTTTACAGGGGATCACTTAAACCATGTCAAATACTTGCAGTGCTGCAAGTGAAGTGAATTAACCTAAACTAAGTTAAACTCACTTCTTAATTTCTTGTGAGAATATTGACAAAGGAATATTTTGATTTTTAACTAATCCACTGTACAAATTAATTAGAATTAATTTTCCTGAGTGTCCCATGTTACGCAGGCCTATAGGCTCTATGTATTCATACTGAGCTATCTTCGAGTCCTTTCCACTGTTGCATTAGTGTTTTACATCTGTGAAGAGCCATGCTAAGCAGCCAGTTACCAAAGCTATGCATCTTCAAATCAAGTTTTCTTGGTGTACTCAAGAGAAATGGATGAGGAGAGAATGTGTACATTTTATTCTAACTATGTTTTTTCAGATTAACGAGTTCTTACCACTGTGTGCTGGACAAACCTAGCTATTGCACCAGTGAGGGCCATACATTTCCTGCATTCAGTAATTTAATTAGAATTTCTGTTGCTAATGGAGAGTACAGATGAACAGAAGGATATCTCTGAACAAATAATTCAGATTACACAAACTGGCAGACAGGTTAAGACTCATCTTTGAAGAGCTGCTTTCTCATTTTGCTAGCATTTGACAATGACCTGTATCCCTGCTCTTTCAAAGACACATAACTAGGAAGAAACAAGTTTGACTGACAGGTGCATTGACTGGAAAGAGAACTTCTCATCTGAGGGCAAATTTTCTCTCAATTTCCAGTCTGAAGAGACATCAGTTTTCTTGTCAATTTACATGACCATTCTACTGAGACCATTTTGTAGTATCTAGAATTGTAATAGCCTTAATACATTAACTTTGCGTTTAGAATGTAAAATGTTAACCATTCAGGATAACCTGGTCTCCTAGACATTTAAAATTAGTGTTCTATCCATATGTATCAATATCTTTGTCTATTGCTGTGTTGTGAATATCCATTTGTATGAAAATGACAGACCAGTTTAGGTGGTGGTCATGTTCCTTTCACACATAGTAAGGCAAAAAGCAGAATCATCAGGCTTTTCAAAGAAATAATTATATTTGCTACATTGAAATACTGTGAAGTGCTATGCCATTTTAAAAAGGGAAAGTTTAAAAATAGAGTATGTACTAGGTTACTTGATTTTTATGCTGACCCTGTTTTCATATTGAAGTTTTTCCAAATGTCTGAATCTCTCAATGATCATTGACTTTCTTTAGCAGCTCTGGCAAATTTGCTATAGTTAGGAACATTTGGATTTCTTCCAAACTACTATCACCTTGGCTTTTACTTTATAGGTGTTCTTTTACCTTTCTTAAAAGTTGATATTAGAGGAACTAAGAATGCAAGCATTCTAACACATTTGTGTAACTTAAAAATATATACACGTGTATATAATAGATCTGCTATAAATTGCAACATAGGGGTTGTTAGTAAGACCACATTTTTGGCAATCAGGAGGTTCAAAATCCTAGTGTCAGGAAAATAATGAAATACCTTGTCTTTTCTTGTTAGCTTCTAGAATGCACAATGAGTCAGAGCAGTTATGGAATTGGACATTATTTATGCATGTGAATGAATTTAATCATATTTGTACCATATGCTTCTCGGTTGTAATTAAGAAATTACTTCTTTTTTTCCCCAATCAGATCTACTTTAAGCCTTGGTTTTAAAAACTTGGGGAGGCATCATACAATAGTCCTCTGAATTATTTTTTTTTTGTTTGTTTCAGGTTTCACTTATAGTTTTTGAAACTTTTTTTTCATCTGTCAAACAGTAAAGCCTATTCCACCAGCAGATGTAATTTTTAATGAAAAAATACATTTGGTGAAATCTTGGCATGTCTGTCTACACTATTACCTACAAGATTTAAAACTTGTAGAGCTTAAAACTTCTGTAAGTTCTTATACCCCTGTTTAAATTAGTGGGTGGAAATAATTGTATATTGAACAAAGAAACAGACCAACCCAGACCAGCAGTAACAGAAGCGGCACTGGGAAAAGCATGTGGAAAAAAGAGGTACAGCAGTACCTATGGTGTAGGTAATTATTATTTTTTTTTTGTCAATTTAATTACAACCCTGAAAGGTTCCTTTGATTAGCCCCTTTCTGGGACACTGTTTGCTGGGTGGCCCTCAGTATTCAGAGAAGTCTGAATGCCACTCTGGCAAACACTAGTGCCAGATAGAAGCAGGGAGTCCTTACAAATGACATATTGGATGTCACTGCAAACAATAACTGATGAAGAGGAGATTTGTGGTAATATCAATTCAAGTGAACAAAATCCTTTGCCGGCTCTAATATGTATATTTTGTATATGTGCGCTAGGCATAACCTTTTATAAATCAATTGTGCAGAAAATCATTATATTATTCCACACAATGCATTTGTCAGTGTGTCAGAGTACCTCTTTTTGATTATAGTTCCAAGCAAAGATGGCTTGCCACATCAACCCACAAGCGGTTGGTCCTTGAGAGAGAATTTTCATCCACATTAAGTCTTTTAAATTTGTTTGGCATTTCAAAAGCTTTTGTTCCTTTAAAGGGAAGAGGGAGCACCAAATGAATATAAAGTTCATAGACTGGTAAAATAATAGTGTTGTTTTTTAATACAAGCATCAAAGTAGAATCTATCATCTAGTCTCATACTTTCCTGTATAAATGATTGACCATAATTTTTTCTGTCACATCTTTGCATTGGTGAAGCAGGTAGAATTTTCAGAAGTGTTAACTTGAGTAACTTAAACCCAGATGGACAAATAGATTTTTATATTTTTTTTGTGGTGGTGGTTTTTTGTTGTTTATTTGTTGTTGTTTTGTTTTGTTTTTTGTGGAAAGATTGCCCCACTTATGAGCCTGTGGGATCATGTAACCTAGTTAGAGTAGTCCTTTATATTTTCTATTATGTTGGTGCAATTTTGAGTCGATGGGGAATTTCCACCATTCTAGTGATTAAGAAAGGTGGATTTTAATGTTTTCAAGCTAAGAAAGAGTACTGAATTCAGGTTTCGCACTACTGATAAAGTGTTTACCCCTTAAGCCACTTCACTGGAGAAGCTGGACTGGCTCCAACTGTGCTGTCTCTTTGAAGGATTTTATTTTTTTTCCTACCACAAGCACATAGAAAGAATGTGAGAAGGTAGGTCTATACAAGACTTAAATCATGGTGTCTTGCCAGAGAGAGGTCTCTTACTACAAAATGGGAAAGATGAAGCAGCTCAGAGTAGGACCTGATGAACACCAGAATGAAAGAAAGAGTTTCTGGTAGGGAATACATGGAGGGACAGTGGAGAATGGGAACATAGACACACAGACATTTTACTGGTATTGTAAAATGCAATCTACAAAATTCACCTAGAATGAGATTTCAGTATGCAATTTCACTGACTTCTATTTCTCCATGAAGTTGTTCAGATGTTTCTGCATAGTAATTCAAGGACACCTGAGCTGTGTGTTGGAACTGGAAGTGGGCATTTCTTTGACATCCATAAGCAGTCATCTAATCCTAAGAGGAACGAGAGTTAAATCACAGCCAGTTCTCAACATTTCCTATTACCTAATATTTTTATAGCTCAAGATCAGCTTTCCAGCAATTGATAATCCCTTTTTCAGCAACATGCTCCCAGATGTCCCATTGCAGCTTAAGTGCTTAGTGCAGCGTGGTAGATTTTGCTAGGGAAACCAGACATGTAGGAACTGGGTGCTTTAAAAATCTGCCCTGTGGGTCTAGCTTACAGACATTTCTGAGAAGTTCACTTGGAATTTCTGTTCAACTATATAGGAGAGCTCAAACAGTCACTTAAACATTTTCTAAACGAGAAAAAACTGTGCTCTGAACACCCTTTAAGCACATGGGGATTTTTTTTTTGCCTTTTTTTGTGTTGATTTATTTAATTTTTTTCTTCTTACTTAACTTTAAAATATCTATAAATTGAATACAATAAGAAAACATGAAGGGAAATAAGAATGAAAGAATAATTGTTTTCAGAGGGCAGAATGTTCTTAAAGATGCTATATCTCAAAACAAAAGAACCTATTGCTTCTATGATACATTAATTCTTGAGAGAGCTGGATTTGTGTTTCCTTGGAGCTAAAGTGCTATTCTCAGAAAACTGAATACCAAAAAATTGGTGGTGTGGGGACCAATATTAGTTATCATTTTAAAATCTGAGCAGAGTTTTGTGGGTTTTTCTTCCCCCATATTCCTTATTGCCAAGTCCACAGTTCATTCCTAGAAGCTGAACAACAGGCTGTGCCCTTTCTGGCTCATGCATTAGTAAGAATTTTGTTAACAAGTCTGTTCGTGATAGGTAGACTACAGGAGAATCTGATTGAATCTTTTAGTGGATAGCTGCATAGATAATATCAGTCAGTGTATATTGTAATAATTGCCCTTACTAAAGCAAGCACCCAGAGATAAGATAGCATCATTGTTCCATACTCATACTTTCATTGTTTGTGGAATTGCTGGTCAGTGTAGTTGACTCGCCATAGAAAAATTCTGTGGTGGCTTCTGAGGTAAAACTTAAATTTTGAGATATTGCCTAAAATTTTACATGTGATTTTGCCCACAGTAAGTTTATGTTGATTCATAGAAGAGATGCTGCAAGGAGCACTAGACAGTTGCTATTGCATAGAGCTTGGCAAGGATTGCCTTTGCTATGTTCACAGTACAAAGGTATAGCATCTCTTGAACTTTGTTTCTATCTCTGTTTCCTGCCAAGAATGAGTTAGAGGCAAAGATAATGCATAGTTTGGAGATTAAGTAATCAAACATACTATTATCCCTTTTGTATACTCTGTCATTAGCATAGAAAATGGAGATGATAGCTTTTAACTGCAAATAATAAAAGCTGGTTTTCCTTCAAGGACTGATTTTTAATGGCAGTTTAAAAAAGTTAACAAGCAGAATGAAGGGGTCATAAACGGAAATTAACCCATAGCATTGGGAAACTTAGAAATCACTTGTTACTTTCCTGGTAGTGAGCCTAATTTGTTTAAAATAAAATCCATCTGTTCATTTTGCAGTCTTTGTCGCACTTCCTTACAGCAATCCACAGTGGATTACCCCTTTACTTTAAAAATTGGCTGCAATTACGATAAGCTGAATAACTCTTATTTTGTGGTTTGCTGTAGCAAGATACTTTGGAGAGCAATGAAGCTTCCCTTTATTCTTAAAAAATAATCAGCTATTGTTATTTTTTGCAGTTGGACCTGAGTATTTTCTTAATTAGGTTTCAAGTAAATATACAATCTGATGGCTTTGCAAATTCAAAATATTTCTGAATGTTGATGAATCAGCCAAACAACTGCTGTTAAGTATGTAAATGACCTTAATGTCAGTTTGGTATTTGCTTAGCATGCCATGCATGCAGCAAAACTTTGGAGTGATTCAACTTTTCTGGCCATGCTAAATATACTTCCTGGGATAAGTTCCCTTTTCATACAGGGACCAGTTTACTACTGTGCTCCCCTGTGTTTCCTCCTGAATATGTATTAGTCCTCTAGAGATGTTTTAATGCGTTATACATACATAATGCTTCTACCTTTCTCTGTCTTTCTGATTGTTAATTATGTGAGATGTGTAATTCTGGCAGCAGTTGAGTGAATATTCGCTAATCTATGATATAATTGAGTTTTGAATGTGTACTTCAAGAAGTTTATAGACTTGCATAGAGAAATCATTAATTTTCATTTGTTAAACTGAAGATTCTCAAGTCCTGATACTCTTTTGTGTTTTTATCAGTGAATCTGTTTAAGGAAGTACTTCTGGTTTTTGAGTGGTTTTCATAGTTTTTTTTATTTGTTTATGTAGACACTCTTCTTTGAGTGCAAGTTATTGACCTGGTACTCTATTTATAATTCTGCCTGGTTCTTCAGTATTTTATCTAGCTGTAACTTATTAAAAACCACAAATATGAAATGGGGATATTAATGACAAGTGGTTTAAATGTGAGAGTTTCAAAATGCATGTCAGAATATTTCAACACTTTGTTCACTGTAATTTTACATTTTTTTTATTACTTAAGTAATTAAAAAAATCCTTAGGGTTGCATTATAGTAAAATTTTATACATCTCAGTACTAATTTTGTCTCTCAGTGGACAGCAATAATTTAGATGGGATTGTTTTTACTCTACCTAATTTATTCTAAAAGGGGGGGGGAAATATTAACCTTGCAAATTTTGCTAATTATAATAATTTCATTAATAATGTTGGTTGTTTTTAATGATCTCCATGCCTTCAGAAACTTGTTCTTCTATATTTTGAAGAAAAACATACAGATATACAGGGTTCTGTAATAGAATGTGTTTACAGTATTTATCCCCTGGGTTTGCTGTGATAGTAAGGGGAAGTACAGTGACAGATATAACTTGCAATAGTTGCTAGTGTTCTGTGCCTTTGAATAATTTTCTTTAATTCATTAATTTTTTATATCTTAGGTGAGGGTTAGCAGCTTTAAATCAGTTTCATTTCTATTCAAGTGGATATGGTGATACATTCTTAGAGCTTTACTAGTTTTACTAACTTTAAATAATTTTAAATCTGTAAGGTAAATGGGTATATGGATGGTTTTGAACTGATCGTAGATTGTTCGGTTTAACTTTTTATGTTTCACACACTGCTAGAGTAGAGGGAGAACTTACTGGTCATATCTGGCTTTTTTTTTTTATGCTTTTGTTTTGTACTATATATGATCAGTGGGACTTTCTCACCATGATAGGTGTGCTCACTGTAGTGACTTTTTAAAATGTTCCCATAGTTTGCACTGTGTGATTCAATTGAATTTAGCTTACAAATCAGTCCCTTTCTGTAGGCATCTGCTTTGTACCTTGACAAGTATGAAAATAATCAAAAATATCACTGTGCTTGACAGTGAGACTGTATATTTCTGTTTCTGAGTGTGAATAGCATTTAGCAAGGCTTGTCTAGTTAAAAAGCAGTTAAACTAGTAATCATACATGATCTGTGTTTAACTGTCATTTGTAGAAAAAGTGCTACAAAGTGATATGTGGCGATAAATTCAGAAGGAAAAGAATACGAAATTCAGATAGCAGCTTGAATGATTTGCTGTTAGCATGGGGCCCAATAACACTACAAAGCTATAAACTCTGTCTTTCTAGATTGCCCAGTTAGGTGGCAGAGATGCAATTTGTCTTTTCTGATGCCGCCTGCTGCTTGCTAGCTCCATCTCCTGTCACAGCCTATTAGCTCCCCAAGAAAATTGGTGGGAAATTGCCTGCAGATTGTAGGAAATTGCATCTCCAGGCCCTGGAAAAAATGTGGGATAGCACAACACTGATCCTCCCAGAGCAGCTATTAATACAGCAAAAGCTGACCTTTGGCATGGTGTGAAACGACTTTGCTATTTGCTGAATAAAGACTGTATTATGTGTGGTTGAAGGAGGGTACAAGTTATTATCCTAGCTATGCCTGTAGCCAGCCTGCTCCAGGAAGCTTAAGCATTAGTGATAGGTTTTGCTGCCCCCCACCTCCTTCCTATTGGAAGATGGGAGGTAAGATGTTGGAGCCTTATCCAGAAATTTCATTGTACAGATGGGCAAAAGCCACCATGTATTTAAATGATATTAGTACATATGAAATTCAAAGGTTTAGCGACAAAACTGAAAGACAATTTATGAAGCTAAGCTCAAAAAAAAAAATTTATAATTGCCTCTGGTTGGTCTAGCCTTCATCAGAGTAGGAACAATTTTTTGGCTATTTTGTTCTATGTGTACATCCACAATAAACGTTTGATTTTGGAGCAGTTACAGTGAAATGGAGCTGATTTATACTGTAACTGCTGAGTGTAAAAGTCATGGGCCACACATTAGTTCTGATAGATTTTAGCATTAAATTCCTTTCCGCTAGGAAACTCACCTTTGTTGTGTTTAAACAAATTCTCATGTGCTCTTTATGGTGTGATATGCAATGAGTTTCATCCTCTGTCATTTCTAATAGAGCTACCTTTCTAATCTTGTACTTTACCTCAGTTTTGTAGGGCCTTTCAATAAAAAAGTCGACTTTTCCGTGAATCCTGAGAGAGGGGATATGTAGAATTAGTTTGCAACATAAAAAATAAATGCCAACATTTTCTTTGAGCTTGCAATGGTACTTAGTTGGTTCAGAGCCTCCTGAGGAAGATGTGTGTGTGAATCAGAACGATGTATTGATCAGAAGTAAGTGAGGGGAAGCCAGCAGCAGGGAAAAAAGTAATTTTGCAATCAAGAGCATTGCTGTTTTCAAACTCAGCTGAGATCTGTTGGTAACTGGCGGCTGCCCAGGGATCTGAGTGAAATCAATATGTTAATTTCCTATTGTATTAGTGTCCACTGATGTAAATGAGCTGACAAGGCTTACTAACACTCACACAACTGATTAGAGAAAATTAGTGGCCTGCCTTATGGAGCTGAGGCAGAGGAGCTGAGCATAGGGCAGCATGACAAAACAGGTACTACTCATAGTTCAAAGCACAGCTGAAGGGGATCAAGAGCACTTCATTTTACAGGGCTCTCTGAGCCCCTGTTTTGAATTCTTATGATCATGCATGCACACGTGTGTCAATCTAGAATGCTAATTTGTTGAGGCATTGTCTTTCTAAATTAGTTATAGCACATTTTATGGAAGTTATGCAGTTTAGTGCTGTGTGTCTTTTCTTGTAAAACACAAATACAGGAACAGAAGAGCTATGGTGCTTGAGCCTTTATTCTGTATTTACAATAGCTGTTCATCTTCCAAGGCTATTACATACTAATTGCATTCTCAAAATAAACCTTGCCATTTAGTAACAAACATGGGTTTTTTTGTATAGCGCAATACCTATATTGGAATAAGCAAAGAACATTTAGAGGACACATAAAATCTGCCCCATTTCGAGGACACAGAAAATCTGCCCTCGCTAATCACTGAATTTGCCTTCTCTTGTAACAAACAAACTAACTAAACTGAGTGATGTAGTATCCAGGAATTCATTTCTTCTGGCTGATGGGACAATGAACACTGTTACCTGCATGCCTGCTCTGGCTTTAATGAGGCCAAGCCCATTATTCTAAACAGAGCAAGGAGGTAACAAATCATTCTTGTACAAAAAGCAGACGCTTCTTGTCATAAATTCAAAGTTGCAAGCTGTTGCTTTGTTATGGAAAGAACAAAAATTCAGACTGGGCTGTGAGGGATTTGGAGTGCATCAAATGGTGCTCTGGGTAGCTGGATGGTTTAAGAGAGGATTGGTGGGGAAAAAACGACTCAGACAAACCAGTTCTCAGCCAACACTTAATGACTGGAAAAGATGTGCAAGCCGTAAGTAGCACCCTTCATCCTGTAACAGCTTATGAGCTCCAGCAAAAGACAGGCCACTAAACTGTGCTTGATTTCTTTTTCTGTAATTGGTTCAAAGAGAGTTTGTTGTCAATCTAAGCTCTGGTCAGTCTGAGTTTGGTCAGGACATGTTTTTCATATTCCATAAATACAGCCAATAACACATCAGAAAAACAAAATCTGAGTTCTTTAATCAGCCTGTCTTAATTTTTTTTTTAATGATGCCTTCCTGTGTAACACTTCTTACTTGCCACACTAGGAAAATGCAGCCTTTTTTGCCCGTCTTTGTTCAAATTTCTAACATTCCAAATGTCATAAAATGGTTCTAATTTACTTCAGTATCCTGTTGAAAATCAAATGTTTTGCTGGTGTCATTTTTCGTAGCCCCAGCAAAAATTTTTTAGCTATGAATAGTTCATTGTACCCAGAATCATATTCATGGTCATTCAATGAAACAATTCACAATTTTTTTCAAGTTCTCCATCAATGGCTTCCACTGGGTGTTTAATTTTTATGAAATAGCTCACCTGAGCATTCCTAGGCTCTACCAAAATATCCTTTCTCCTGCACCATACCTTTCTGATACTCCAGCTGAGAGTAAACCAACCTAGTCCACACCAGCTGCTCTTAAGAACCCCACACTATGAGACAAAATCCAATAGTGCTTGGCCCAGTTAGCAAAAAAGCTTATTTTTCTATGAAATATCCCAAAGCTTTTCTTCATACTCTAATAAAGATTCAGCTTTCTGCTTATAAAAAGGCACTAAAGCAAGCATATAGCATGACCACAGCCCTTCTTAAGGCTTTCAGTGCTGGAATGGGGTGGGGGGAGATGAAGAGAAAGCCTCCCTTTTGGCAGGTTTTTCTCATTAGCGCTTGGCCATGAGTGGAGAGATGCTGATGAAGTGCATGGCCTCAAGGACAGGGCCAGCAAGGGTTTTTTAGGGGCCAAGGTGCCATGTTCTGGTCAACCCCCAGTAATGTTGGGGCTGGCCTGGGGGGAGGGAATTGTGAGCAACAGTGTGCACACAAGGTGGTCGGGTATAGTATGGTCTCCGGCTTGCCCAGACAGTCCCAGTGCTGCTTGGGGAAGGGGCTGGGGCTGGGCTGCTGGGCAAGGAGCTGAGGGATGGGGTGCTGAGGGAGGGGGACTGGCATTTGGGGCCTGCTGGAAGAAGGGTTGCCGGGGGAAACTTAGGGGAGGAGGGTGTGGGCAGTGGGAAATTGGGGTCAAAAGATGCAGTATAAATAAATCTCTTGTGGATGAGGATGAGCTAATGAATTTATGAACAAGTAATTTACAGCCCCATCATTAACTGTTGTTTGGGGTCTGGGCTTGTCCAAGATGGTCCAGGGGCAAGTGAAGAAAAAGACCTAGAAGAAAGGGGTTTGTGGCGTGGCATCAAGTGTTTGGCTTGTTGTGGCTGCTTCCACTTGTGGGGTGTCCACTAAATTAATGATGAAATTGTCATCTCCCTCACCTCCCTGCAGCGAGTTGCTCTGCAGCAGATTTGAAGCACCTCAGGGGAAGGAATTGCACACCTTGGCTCTGCTGCCTCTCTCCAGCCAGGGCGAAGAACTTCTTTATCTGGGACTTGTTTACTGGAAAGGAAGGTGACTGTGGATTGAATTAGAAAGGAACATTATTTTTCTGCCAGCAGGGAAGACTTTTCCATTTACAGAAGAAATGGAGATAATGTTATAAATAGCACACTTGAGCAGCAATGAAGATGTAACACCAGAAAGGTAAGCCAAGATTTATAGTTGACTGAAGAGATCTGGGTGGAATATTACACGTGGGTTATTGAACCAAATACAGCAAAGCCACAACACACTGTTGGTTGTTCTGATTTTTTCTTAGTACCTTCAGGAAAGAAGGCAGTAAAAGAGCAAATATCCAAGCAAATGTTTATCTGCATATTTGATAAGTTCCTGAGAAAATGGTCTTATCCAACCAGGCAATGGCTAACCACTGTGGTTAAAGAGTAATGTGCTTTTGGCAAGAGATCTCAAAGTTCTGTTTTGAGCCAGCTTGCTTGGAATTGTTCTAATGAAAATAGGCTGTAGATAGGTACCGTCAGAGGTCCTCCTCTCTGTTCCCAGGAAAATATTGTACTTGTAAGGAATTTCACCTTCCTGTTCAGGAACACAAGATCTAGGAAAGACTGAAAATTCCCATTACAAATATGTTGATAATTAACTCTTGATCAGTCATGCTGGAGACTTTGGAACCTGGATATAGGGCAGGAAAAGGATGAGGTATTTGCCCAGGTGAAGCCTCTGCCTTTTGCAGCATGGGCAACTATAATGTGATATTAATAGCTCCTGTTTCAGAACTAATACAAGTCAGTGTCACAAAGTGATGAATGTTATGTGGCATTTACCTTCAAAAAAAATTATAAAATCTTTTGGCAATCCTACTGAAAATTCTTTGTTCTCTAATCTTTGCAAACTGGCAAATAATACAGAAAATTGCAGGTATCGTTCAAAATCACTGTTGCTTTTCTAGGGCTGGTACTATAGAAATCCTGAAAAGTGGGGTTTATATTTGTGTGGGCTCTGTTAATCTCATATATAGTGACAGAATCGTCTTCTGTCAGGAACAGAATAGTGTTCTGCTGTGTTGCTTTGAAATGTTCCACAATATGTGCTATAGCAAAGTGTCTTCCCCCACTACACTACTGCTTTAAAGTGTGAGGCTTATCATAGCAATTTCCCATGCTTTCATCCAAAGCCTGAAAATATGCCTCAAGCAAGACATTCAATCAAAAGTAAAACATTGCCAGTTATTGACTGTCTTTCCAGCTCCTTGGGAGGTAGCTTGCTGCTACGCCAATGTGAAGAAACTCATGTTACAAAAGCAAAATGAAAGAAAACAGAAATTAAACAATAAGAACAGTTTCAGCTCTGAGCAATTGTCTGAGTATCCCACAGCAATCAAGTTTCCCCTTCTAGAAGAACTTTAATTTGATCTGACTTTCACTGATTTATTTTCTCTTGCAGTTTTGAGCATTTTAAAGGAAGCATTTCCTTCTTGAATGTCTTTAATCAGAGATGGGGAGTTTTTGAAAGGCCTGCCTAACATTTGTAACTCCTCTATTCTTTTTTTTTCTCCTTGATTTTTGTTTGTCTTGGGATTACACAGAAGTAAAATATCCATTTCTCTCTTATCGAGTCCTGAGGAACCGGTGTGATGAGTGGGTTGGCTGCTGGACTATTCTGCAAGAATTGGTAAATCAGGACTGACCTCTTTAGATGAAACTAGTTAGAAATGGTATTAAATTCCAATCTGCTGGGCTTTGGCAGCTTAGCAGGCTACAGTGTTTAGTATCTTGTTGTACTGGAAGAAGGAGCTGTTTTGTTATTTCTGTTAGCTTTGCAATGAATGTCAT